GCGGACTTGGGCAAACTGGGTTCTCACCAAGCCCAAGGTCATCACTAGCATACTGATTTTTGGATCCACTTTATTGCTTACTAAGTCAACTCATGCTCAATAGACACAGTGAATGATCCTAATTCACTGTCTAAATGAGAAGGCTGCAGGTGCAGAGGTGACATAGAGAGCAAAGCTGCTTAATCAGGTAGTGCATGTGTCCCCTGTCTGGTTGTGCAGTGTGGGAATGACAAAATTGGATGTAAAGAATCACAAATCCATAGTCAGGTAAGACATTAAACACATATGTATTTCAGGTCTGTATTTAGCGGTTTGCCTAGAGTTTCAAATTTATCTAATCAGTGAGTCAGTAATCTACAAGAAATATGCAGCAACTGCAGTCGGAAGTCACGATCTGCATACTTCTTTTAAGTCAGAGGCCCAGAAACCACAGGATCAGTATGACGGAGAGGTAGCAAGCATATTTATCTAATGACAGGTTTCATTTCATAACCCTAATTTTACCAGTAATCTACGTTGTACCACACAGGATCAATGTAGGTCACAGCAAGGACATATAGAAAACAATTGTTTTCTATATGTCCCATTCACAACACAAAGCAGTGAGCGGTGCGCTGTGATAAAATGAAAACATGCTGTATTTTATCGCAGTGCACTGTATCCAACTGCTGAATTCCAAATGGCAGCAAGGCCAACCACGCTGCCGTGCGGGCACCTTGTACATACCATATAAAGTTTTAAAAAATGTGAACGGTGATAGCTCCAGCAGTGTGAGATACAACTCACACCACTGGAGCTGTCACAATGCCCTAGCATGTCTGCTAAAACAGAGAATTTTAGCGAACGGGCTAGTGTGAACGCGCGCTTTTGCAGAGCTGTTTGATCATCTCCAGCCCTTGGGTATGCCTAAAGCCGACCATCCCCTATGCGAATTTCGGCCGGTTGTTGATGAACTGGCTGAAATTTGCAGAGTGGGAGCCACTGTTGGCACTCTTCTGTCCGGCATCCCTCAATCAGCAGACTGAAGGAGCCGATTGGCAAATCTTCGACCGAAGGGTGCTTGCAGCCGCGGCTATCAAAATACAATGGAAACAGCGGGGGGTTACTTCATTTACACTGTTTAGAGTTGATGGAGGAACCTGTTCTATTTTTTTTGTTCAGCCCGCAGTAATTTTGGAAACAACTTCACTGATCCAGGAACACAGATTATGTCACCTGTGCAAGATAAGGGGATCTAAAACACGTTTGCTGGGAGAAGTAGCCATACACTGGTAGATTTTTGTACAAATGTTCACACATAAAATCTCATCAGCGCACTCCATCTTCAGTCTGATCCCTTGCAGGTTGTACTCTGGAGTGGACAATTTTACTCTAGCACATGGGCTCAAGTACGCACAAGCCACAATCTCTGTATTTCTCAGTCATGTTTTTATCCCTTAAGCCCTAAGCCCTCACCAGGGGTTTCTGGGTGTGGATGGTTTGACAATCATAGCCATGGTCTGAGTCTTTCGGCCTAAGTGTTATGCTGGGGTTATTCACAAAAGGGTGAAGAGTTTGGAGAAGGCAGGAGAAGCGCACAGGTCATCTAGGACAACATAGCGGAACTGGAAAGTGAGCAGAATTGGAGAATTGTTCCAAATCAGCCATTTTGTACTAGATTGTTCACTTGCCTTCTCCAAACTCTTCACCTTTTTGTGAATAACCCTGTTAATGACACTGAAGTGTTTTTTTCTTTTCATTATTGTTACTTTAACCTTGTGTTGCCTACTATGCGCGTCAGAGACTTGACGGATGTCATCCAAAATTTCAACATTTGATTTTGGAATGAATGGATTTACTTGGAAGAAAACCACATTGACTTAGAATTTCATTCATTAGTGAAACATTTTCCATCCTGCTCTTTTTCGTTTTTTTTTTTTAGTCAGTATGATTGAAAATGATTGTCGATTTAACCCCATTCAATATTATGAAATGAGTGTATGGCCAGCTTTAGAAAACATTGCCGGAGAGAAGTGCATATAGTGTAGCAGCTATTGTAACACCTTTTCAAACTGGTGTTACAAGCTCAGAGATTTCAGTGTCAATGTTCATCCCTTTTTACAAAAATTAAGTATACACTGTTGATTGAATGTAGATGCCGTCCCTATTCAGCTGGCAATTTTTTTGATCAAAGAACATCGGGGGGAAAGTGGCAGATAGGGCCACACACTAAGTGAATTTTGGCCAATTCATGAAGAATCAGCCAAAATTTGCTCCTTATATACCCAGCGTAAGTGTATTTCAAAGTAAAACACTGGATCCACAAACATGTTTCACACTAGCATGTCAGTGGATTTTTGTTTTGTAGGAGTCACTGCAGCATCTTAGTATAGCATTTCTCCTGCTAGTGAGCAATGTTATATACAATTTCCAAACCGGAATCTCCCTGGTCCCACCACACAAAGCATGTAATATGCCCCACATATACTTTGTAACAAGGCTAGGGAAGACTTTTCTTAAAAACTCACTTAAGGGATTTCAATATTGTTTAAACTTTATTGTTGAACGAAGCACTACAAGTGCGCACCTAACAGAGGTGATAGGGTCCAAATACCTGGGGCACAGACTGTGGCCTGAATCGTGGGTATATACCATGACGAATTGAGAGTAAGGTGGTTTTCCTTCCTTCATATAATCTTGTCTCTCTCCCATCTTCTTTCCCTCAGGCCCCATTCACACTGAGTGGAAAACCCGCGATTTCCACCGCGATAACGCGCATTTTTGCCACGCGATATTGCGAGAAGTTGTCGGCCAATGGTTTTCAATGGAGCTGTTTTAATGTACAGCTCCATGTCGCCCGTCGCGTCTGCAGGACCATTTTTCCTGCGGATGTCGCTCAAATTTCCTTTTTTCTTAATGCAGCTAGACGGTGAAGGTCGCCCGAACCGTCGCGCGGAAATCCGCTTGAGGTGAGTGTCGCTTAGTGTGAATGGGGCCTAAGAAGTGAGCCATTAGTACGCTGGCCCTTTGCCAACACTGTGGATTACAGGCCAGAGAACAATGACCCTAAAAAGGACAGCCAAAATTAGCGTGCAATGCCACTACTGCCTCAACACCTTAGTTTAGATATCCCTAATTAAAGTGTATGTACACCAAAAATCTACTTTTTAGTATGTTTGGTATCAAAATTTGTTAGTGGGAATGTGGCAAAGTTTCTTAACGAAAGCTACTGCCTCACATTATATCAGCAGGGTTGTCAGCGCTGTAAGGCAGCAACAGAAAGTGCTGTTACTGGCAAAATCTCAAGGTAAGAAACTTTGCAGCAGATTCACAATAAATGGGTTAGGTCCGAGTCTAAGAAAAAAATTTGTTTACTGAATACAAGGAGTTGGATTCAATTAGTAATTATTACCTTCATTTCACATAGATATGACGATAGGATTGCCTAACCAGGGGTGTCATAATTTGTAAATTAAAGCACGTTGTTTTTTCACCGTTGTATGTACCTGCCAGTTTAGCAAGACTTCAGAAATGACAGGTGCTCTACAAAGAGGACCGACTGGAATGGGGATTATACAAGAATATGAATATTTTGTCCTGAATTACTGTTACTGTGTAGGCTTGCTCATGAAATAATTATGTTTGGTACATTAACACCTGACTTTTCATCTACAGCATCAATGGGTCATCTGCCCTTTGAAACCCTGTCAAATACCTTATCTCTCACACTGCCTCCCATCATTGAAATATGCATAGCAGATTATAGAGACAGATGCTGTCAGATTATAGAGACATGTAGCCGAGTTCACATTCCTCTTAACAATTGGACTTCTTTATAATTTTTGCGCACTCAGAAGCTGGGAGACAGTGGACCAGATAAACTAAGGTTGGTGGAAGTTAATGGGAATGGTTGCTCATGGCATGTTATTTTGGCACCTTGCACGTCAAATAAACTGACACATATAGTTTATTTGGCTCATAACAGAATGCGTAACTGTCTTGTGCTATCATCCGTTTGGCGCACTTCTGCTTACGTCTAATGGGCAAAATACTGACAGACGGATTTTCTGATCCATTATTTATTTGGTGCAGATAGTAAGACTTTTTATGTGAAAAGCCACACTTGGGATTTTTTTTTACAATTGGTGAACTAGTTGATTCTTTCTTTTCAAAAACTCTTCAAACTCAACTATTATCTGATGCGTGCGCCCCCCTAAGGGTTTTGCACAGGTTTCTGTGCACCACATGTATTTGGCACACTGGGCTATGGTGTAAAGAAAAGCAATTAGAAGGCAGAAAATGTGGGATTTTAAGCGACCCCTAACCTTCGACTTAAGCTAAATAGTAAGGCTCATTCAAAGTAAATGTAAATAAAGGAGGACATATAAACAATTCCTGAGTAAGGCTGTGCAATTAAATGTTAAAGGAACACTAATGATTATATTGATCACTGAAGGTCACATTGGCTCCTAATTACATCATGTATGCAACCAAAATAATCCCCTTTTCCTCCTGAGTATTCACGAAGGATAATGCAAGAAACCTTTAATCTACTCAGCCAGTAATAACACAACCTGTCAGCTAGTAATAAACACAATGTTCATCATAGAATAATATGATCTAACCTATGGGTCACCCATATGGATGGTCAGAATCACAGATTCAGTCTAAACATGTTATGGTCTCCATAAAGGTAGCTTCTGAATGATACAATTTGTATATTAAAAGAGTATTTCTGTGTAGATTAAAATTCTTACAAAGAGTCCTGAAAATTGCATGTTATGTTACTTTCTTCAAGTGATACATATATCCCACAGTCCATGTCCACTACATTTTCATAGCGGCATGTGTCAGGATATATCCATTCACTCTCTGTGACTTTATTGCAAGATTAGTGTTGTACCGTTTTTTAGGTCTGTTTATCCAGTGAGAAGTTCGACTGAAGTATATAATAAATACAACACTACATTTTCAAATAAAATGAATCGTATTCACATATATTAAATAAAATACATGTTCTAACACAGTTTTACTAAAACTATTTTTTTAACCAAAAAATAAAATTAAGATCATTTTACATTCTGAAATATTGCAAACCCCCTTTATTAATTAGCGGGCTGTGCCATATAGTGAGTTTGACAGGAATGTGAATCCTCCGTTTTCAGTCCCGTTTCATTTATATGTACTTTTTTACCAGTTATACCAGTCAGTAAGCTTTGGCTTGAAATTCACGAATATATTGCTGAGGCAACAATGGTAAAATGTTTTAAGGCTTGCTCGTTTCTGTATTAATCTTCCAGTCAGTTGACTTTCCAATTATATTTCATCTTCTGGTTCAAGTTTGACAATTCTTCTTTCTATGTTGCTTAAGGCTGCTTGTGAATAATCCCTCAGCATCATGTCTGCTGGAACATAAACATAAAAATCATTTACAAATGCAGAACCTCCACTCTTTACATTATTCAGTACCATATACTGTACTCTCAAAACTGTTGGAAAGCTGTTATACCACCTCATTTTTTAGTGGAAAAACTATTCGCTGGGGAATTTTACAAACATGTAAACTGTATCTGCATTGCAGCATAAATTCTACACAAACCAACTATATGTACCTCAGACTCGTCTTATCACAGACCAGCTGTGTACCATTTTCTGGATATCCATTATAAATGATAATTCCCTATTCGTTTCAGACTCCTCTGTACAACAACAAAGACATCCCCAGTAACTGCAGCTGCCCAGCTTCATTAGTAGCAGGACGTGAATTCTAGATTTGGTGTGCAGCACCATCTACTAGTGACATCTGGTACCACAGCTCTTCCAGTCTGATATAAAAATATTCTGTGAACATATCATAAAGCGAATGTTGATCATAAAAACAAAGTCAATGACAACTTTCTTGCTATGATTTAAAAATACAAATGTATACACATATATATACTAATCTATATGGGTAACACGGTATTACCCAAAATGATCAGGACTGCTTAGTAATCTATATGGGTAATAAGGTATTACCCAGAATGATCAGGACTGTTTACTAATGTTTATGGGTAATAAAGTTTTACCCAGAATGATCAGGACTGTTTTCTCAAGAGGACCCTTCTTTAATATAAACCACCGTGTCTGAAATAGATTCATCTTATAACTATCTTTTAAACAAAACTTCTGCTGTGCCTAGTCAAATAAACTGTTTGACTGTGCTAAAAACATTGGCTATAATTTATTTTTTATGGATTAACAATAATTATATACCTTTGTGGGGTTTTTTAGTGTCAGAATATTCTGGATCACAAAGGAAGCATTGACTCATAGTTTTTATAGTAGTTCATAACCTCGCCTATGGCCATGATGTTTGGCTAAATACTGAAAGAACAAAGTCACCTATGCAAGAACTTCATTGTAGGTTTTCTGGGCTTACATATGTCAAAAAATCTGGCACTCCAGGCCATTTCATGTGGCCTCGTACCTCTCCTGCAGCTTTACATTTTAAAAATGAAGCTGGTGCTTTACAGGAAGGCTGTCAAGGTCCCCAGCAAGGTCCCGGCAGCCTTCCTGTGAATTGCGGTGCTGTTTACAGCGCTGGCAGCAAATCTCATCCTTCCTGTGGATCCATGCCGCCGACACCACACAGCCCTCCTAAGACCACACGCAGCCCAGCATAGACCCTGCACAGCCACCTGAGAGTCCACACAGACCGCCACAGGACCTGCACAGCCCACCATAGACCCCACACAGCCCACCTGAGAGTCCACACTGCCCAGCATAGACCCCGCACAGCCTACCTGAAAGTCCGCACTGCCCAGCATAGACCCCGCACAGCCACCTGACAGTCTGCACAGCCCACCAAACAACCTGCACAGCCACCTGAGAGCTCACACGGCCTTGATTAATCAGTATACACAGGTCTGGAAAACGCCACAATGCAGAGCCTGGTACCTGAAGGTCACCCCATCCATGGGCATATCCAGCGACTGGGTGAAACCAAGATCCTGTGTCATGGCTCTGGACCAGGAAAACACTCTGCAACTAACACAGTACACAAAAGTCTGGAAAGCAAAGGTCAAGTTCCAGGCTAGCTAGGAACTTTTGGCTTTTGCTAAGGATACGTTGATCCAGAAGGCTGCTTTTTTGAGACCAGCTCAAGCAGCATATTAGACACTTTGAAGAAAAAAAAACATGTACAAATTACCGAGTATGTCGATAGAAGAACAGGAAATAATAAAAATACAGTTAGAATTTTCCTTAGCAGAACCAAACCTCCTCAAGATGGCAGTATAATCTATTGCGCTAAGATTATCTACTATTCCTATGTCTGTCAATGGACGATAAATAAATCGTATATATCACCAGTATCAAAAGAGGATCAAATTAAAAAAAAGAAAACTGCATAGATAGAAATGAGGGCAAATTATTTAATTAGACATAGAATGTCATTAAGGACATGGTCTTTTTTTATCTGTCACAAAAAAGACAAACACAGGTTATGTTATGACATTTTTCATCCTATTTGTATAGATCATTGATTGCTTATGCTAAACAAGGTCTATATTTTAACTCTGTTTTGATCCATGCATTGCATTGTGAAAACCTATTTAATAGAGAAAAATATTGGAACAAAAATGGCCATGATTTGTTATGAACTATTATGTAAAAAAAAAAACAGAACCAGCGGTAAGATAATTACCAGATGATGCGGTTATAAAGTAGAGGGGGACATAAACATTAATATCATTGTAATACAAAGGTTAGCAAAGTTCAGGCAAAAGGAAAAAAAAGTGTCGAAACAGAATTTCCTTACAACTGCTCTCCTTACCCCCACCACATCCTGGTTCTAAATGTATACATATATGACATAAGCAGTTAGTGTATTGCACATGTACTATGCCACAGTATGTACATGTTTATGAAAAAATTTTCTGTGTTACATTTGTAGTATAACCAGTGTTATTTGTTATGTCCATTCAGTTCAACCTATAGAAGATTAGAAGGGCTCTAGGGGCTCTGAATGAGGCCGGGTTACTGGAAGGCTCTGAATAGGGCTGGGTGTCACTGTGAGGAGACAGGGGTTCTGGATGAGGTTTGAGGATTCAGCAGCAGACAAGGTGGCCCTGTGGCGAATGATGATTTTGGAGGGGGCTGGATGCAACTGTTGGGGACAGTGTCCCTGGAAAGGGGCAGGTGGGGGTCTCTCCAGGGGGCACTTCTGGGGCTGTGGACACTGTGGGACACTCTTGGAAATTGGGGGCATTATGGGGGGGCTGCAGCCTGTGTAACAGGCTGGGGGGCACTGTGGGAGTTTATGGGATATGAAGTGTATCTACAATGCCGTTTTGTGACGCCTAAAGTAGCAGTACCTGGTGCTGGAATGCTCAGCATTGGAGCGCAGGGCACGCGTTACCACTCTGTGGTGCTGACAACAAGGAAGGGACACTGAAGCTGTCCACATATCACCACCCAGAAGAAAACACTCTGTATGAGCAGTTGGCTCTCTACCACAAAACCTTGTCCCTGCCCTGGTGCTATTGATGGCTTTCTCAGTTCATTCAATTTGCCTGTGTTGCCTTCCAAACTCACACAATGCTAGCGTAACCAAGAAAAGTAATGATTGCATGAGTGTGAGTAAAGTGTTAGGAAGGATTGTTTTAAGATGAATGTATTTGCAGGTGAGTAAATTAAGTGTGCATCTCTCCCTTGTAAAATTGATCAAACTACAAATCTTTCTACTTACCAACAGCTGGCGTAGCATGGCTGTGATGATCGGTCATTGTCACCTGTTTTTTCTCCTTCCAACAGCCACATGCTGTGTTTTCAGAGATGGCAATGCCACGGTCATCGGTTCTGGAATCTGTGGTTTCTGGAACACACAGAGAAGGAAAAGTAAGCCATTTAGTTAAAAACAAACAAACAAACAAACACAAACTTTGTTTGCTGTCCCTTTACTTCCTATCCTCCAGGCACAACAGAAAGTGAGACAAAATATCTCCAATGTCAGGGGAAATCCCCTCTTTGACAGCCGTCACCTCAACAGATGTTCCCACTGGAAGATATTCCCTCACCTTTTGTTCAGGTGACAGCTGCAAATGTTTGGATTTCCCCTCACTTTCTGTCACAAGGACAATGATCACCAGAACAAATGAATAGAGAATCTCCTGAGCTGGCACATCAGACAGCACTAAAACCTTGATGGGTGTTTTAACCCCTCGCCACTATCCAAAACTCGGAATTCTTTAGATATACTTTCAGGTCATGCATTAGTAATAAATAAAACCTGCAGAATTTAACTATTTTTCTCCTAAGCCTAAAAACATCAGCTCCAAGTCCCATCCAATCACAACCCATATGTTGATCAGACCACATTAGGGATAACAAGCTCCACTTTGATAACAAGTCCAAAATTAGAAGGTGACCTTTGTCAACAGGTAAAGAGCAAAATGGCATGGGGCATCATAAACAATATTTTAATCACAAAAGGATTGTTTTCTAAACTTCACCTAGGTTATACTGCAAGTTTAGATGTAACAGTGCTTCCTACAACATTGACAGCCATGACGTTAATATGATTTTAATAGGCATGGGAATCCATAAACAAAAAGGATTTTGGAAATTGCACTTTGGTTACATATTTGTAAGCCCCACTCCAATCAGAGATTACACAGGGCTTAGGGCTCTCCCCACCCCAATTGTTACCAAGCACCCGCTGAGTCATATGGTCCTCGTTGTTTTTTAAGTTGAACTCGATGGACATGTGTGTTTTTTCTACCTGACTAACTATGTAACTATGGAGGGAGTTGCTTGCTCCTTCATGCCTTACTCCTACAGTAAGGTCCTCTTTAATCTGACAAGCTACTGCCTCACAGTCGCCTCCGTTGTGGATGAGGGTGGTCTCTCACAGAACCTGATGCACTGACAGGTTGGTTTAAAGCAAACGTCCTGTCTAAAGGTATCTTCAGTTTCCTACTTAAGCAAAAACATTCTTCAGTGTACCCCAGTGAAAATGGTTTGAATTTCTAAGGCCTTGTTTACCCTGACTCTGGGACTAAGCTCCAACCATCTAATACCATTCTGTCCAATGAGAACTCTCATTGCACAGAAGTTGGGTAGGTGGAGACCTTGAAGTTAGGGAAGTGAAGTTCTTGGTGGTAACAAAATGAAATCAGTTTCAAAGGGGTGAACAAGGGAGGGTTTCTTTAGATGTACTAAGAGGACCTGTTCTCGGACAGCACTTTTAAAACGTAAAATGGCTGACTCAGTGCAGTTTTAAAAGACACTGTCACCTTGCCTAATCAGGACAAAGTGACAGTAAAGGCTGTGACACACTGCAGGCGTAGCGATGCGAAGCAAAGCGAAAAAATTGCAACCTTCCACTTCGCACCGAATTAATAATTATTACAATAATTATTAAGTCTTCTGGACTGACAAGACGTGTTTGCAAACAGGCAGATACAGAAACAGGCAGCTAGTGATCACTCAGAACTGAGTGATCTGATTGGCTGGTCGCGTGTTGCCACTTTGTGATGAATTGCATCGCGCGCTGTGATTGGCTGGAGATGAACTTTTTCATCTTATGGCGCTGCACTACGCACGCTGTCGCCGGGCAGAGCGGGGGATCGGAACTCACAAGACACACTGCTCGCGAAGGGCCGCTCGCCTGTGCGCAGCTTCGCTTGCAGTGTGTCACGGCCTTGACTTTGTAAAGGCTCGTGCTTTATAACCTACAGAACCTCTTAGTTCACCTCCCCTTCTTCAGACACTGGAACCCCATTGGGAATGGTCTTGCCTTGACTTATGTAGCTGTGCCCAGACTTAACTTTTAAACACCACTGAATATTTCCTCAAACACTGATTTAACCTTTGCACCGCCATGTTTTGGATTCTGTTCTCTCATGAAGAGCGTACATGTCTACCTTCTCCAGCCTCACATTTTTCTATACTATATTTGTAACTAGCTTTGGCTGCTTAGCTACCCCCGGTCCAGAATATGCCAGACAACCTGCTAAATGTTGAGAGGAAGAGAATTGTTCATCCCATGGGATCTTTATGCCTTATAGGTTTGGAATCCCATTTGGATTCCATAAAATGGATCTGTATGACCTGAATCTGTTATGTAGGTGTCAGTTAGCAGCTTCAGTGAGGACCAGTCTATCTCTGATGCAACATATTTAAGCAGGAAGGTCAGCCTCAAGGGGACAGGTGTGGAGTACTCCAAATGGGAAATTTAGTAACATGAACATTTTGCATATTAAATCAATTTAAGATGTACCACATAAAATAGTGTAGTAAGAACAAAACATCAGCGAACAGCATGCAGAGCTGGTCTCCATAGGTTGCTATGGTGATTATTATGCCCCCTGGCTCTGAGCTGGAAGCGAAAGTGTTATTGAAAAATGTATTAAACAAGAAGCTGCTGAGATTCCAGTCTTGAACTAGTAATCCCAAATACATTATCTAGTGAAAAGCTGGTGCTTACTTGAAGCCTGAGAGTTTGTCTCATGGTTGGAGGAGAGATTACAATGTTTGTTACAAGGCTGCTTTCCCATGTTCTGTTCTTCTGACAATATCTGCTGTAGCTGATAATCTTGTGACACTCTGAGGTTTAGCGGCTTCTCAACTGGGATAAAATGACATAAAAAGGAATAATGCATTGTTTTTTTAACTACAGATATGAAAGCTCATTATTAACCCTATGTGATTGTCTGACAGTGAACAGATACATTTAAAGGAGAACTATGGGGTCAGTGTTTTTCCCCATAGTTCTCCTTAGGGTAACGGGAGGACACAAACTAGCGTCCTCCCATTACGCTAAGCTCAGTATACCACAAGCTAGAGCTCGCGGTATACTGAGACGCCGCACCTGGAGCGGATCCCGACGTAGATGACGGGATCCGCCCAGCTGCGTGAGTGACAGCTTCCCCCGCCCCCTCCGCCAGTCAGCGCTGGCAGATCGGAGCGGGGAGAGGGGAATCCAGCCCCTCCCCCTGTTACGGCAGAGAGCCGTGACAGGATCGAGAGGTGAGGGAACCCGGTATGTGTTCCCTCACCTCCCGATCTACTGAGCCGACCTGTGACAGTCTCATTGTCACAGGTCGGCTTAGAACTATGAGGTGAGTGGAAATCACTCATCTCATAGTTCTCCTTTAAGGCTTTAACACACTGCACGTGAAGCAACGGGGAGCAGTGGTACGCAGACCTTCGTGTGCAGTGTGTCATGTCTTTTTCACTCCGGCATGTCAGCTTGCAAGAGCTCGCATTGCTGAGCATGGCGAGATGAATAAATTTATCTTCAGCCAATTGGCTCACGCGTAAAGTCCATTCGGTTGTTACGCGCGAGCCGATTGGCTGAAGATATAGTCATTCATCTGGCGGCGCTCAGCTCACACACTGCATACAAACCTTCGCACCTGGCGTCTTTGCACGGCTCCGCATGCAGTGTGTCACGGGCTTTACAAATAGTCTACAAAAGGACACTGACTATTGTGACCATGGAAATGACAGGCAAAGGATAAATTGAGGAACTACATATAAAAGAAATCAGCTGGGTATAGAAACCATGTAACAGGTATCTCAACCCACCAAAACAAATTGTGTACAAACACATTGAAATATAGAACACTGAAATATTAGTCTGTGATATGATAGACTTGCTGAGGAAGCCATCATTATTTTTTTTTGCTGTCTGATCTCTTGGGGAGATTTCCCTTCACTTCCTGTCTTGGAGACACAACAGAAAGTGAGAGGAAATCTCCCTATAGTGAGAGAAATTGCCATCTTAGAAAGTCGTGATCAGGACTTTCAACCCATTGGAAGATTTCCCCTTACCTCTGGCTCTCATGATAACTATAAAATGTAGGATTTCATCTTACTTTCTGTTTTAGTGACAACAGTCACCAAGTAAACAGAGGTGTGTATCTACCCAGCAGGGACACAGACCGCAATAAAAACTTGGCAGAGAGTCACCTTCCCTACCCTTTCCTACTCTTTCCAAGACTAAAATAAAAGGTTTTGCATTTACATGCTGTGCACTTCAAAGCTATAAGGGCATGATAAGAAACTAACTAGCGTTGTGACTGATACTAAAACTTAAGTAATACATTATACAAATGCAGCTTTCCGTTTATTACCTTGTCCATCAGAACTGTCTGAAAACATGAAACTGGAACTGGTATCTTCTGGACTCTGTCTGAAAAGGCCTTTTTGTGGATTTAGCATGATCTCACACCCTGAGTTATGAAAAATCTTCATTTGGGCTGCCATCACTTTTTCAATTTGAACCTACAATGAATGGGGTTTATAGTAAGTAATACATTATAAGATACATCAAACTCGCATAAAGCTATAGCCATCCATGACAGAATGCACACCCCCATGCAAGACTCGACATTCCACAATTGTAGTATCAGGGTTCACAGAGTTACACACACCCCCACGTCCCTACTGCAGATACAACAATTCTCCCAACCCCTAGTTTCAGCATGTATAGTCCCCAATCCACATGTGCCAAGAACCCCAGTTACAGATTTACAATAGGTTTTAGCTGCTTAAAATTGGCACTGCTACTTTTGGGTGAGTCCCAGCACAGAAATCTTTGTCACCAGTTTAAAAGTGCAAGTTCATCACTGATATATACTTGGCACGAATACTTTAATCTGCTGTATAATTTTGGCAAGAATATACCACACCTGGAAAAAATTAATAATCATAGCCAGGAAACCAAAACAAAGGGCTTCCTGCAAAAAACGTCTGCCTGACATATAGCCGTGTGGATGCTGTTTGCATAGGTGGAGCAGACCAGTATACTGGTCAGTGCCATCTAGGGGTGCTACTGCCAAGCAGTAGAGGAGTTAAAGTGTATGTCAAGCCAAAGCCTTTTTTTTAAGTTTAGGAATTAGTGGGGAATTTAACACCTGTTATATTTTTAATGCTCTCCAAGGCTCCAAAAGAGATTTACCTTGATGTCCTGCCCAGCTGACAGTGAATCCACCGGGCATGAAGTGAGGACAATCTCCAACAGGGACACAGACAGAAAAACAAAACCTGACAGTAGTTCCAGGCATTCCCTACTCTACTCTACTCTAGTATTTTTATTTCTGTCTGTTTTAGTGTTGGAGATTTTCTCTTCTCTTCCTGTCTGGTAAAACATTGGCAGAAGTGGGAAGGGAAATCTCACTAATGGAGCCACAGATAGTAGTAAAAAACAGATAGGGGTTCCCATCCTTCCCCACTCTATCCATGGCTAAAATAAAAAGTTTTAGGTTGCCATACACTTAAAAGAGAATATATATTTTTTAGTGATTTTTAACATACACGTGTTATGGTATAAATCTCATTAATGTTTTCACATTTACACTTTTTATTTAGATATGTACATGGACAGACATATTTGTTCATTACATACTCATGCTCAGCTTACTGTTTTGCAGTACTACACAATAGTTGTAGTGTACTATTCTCTTGCAATGTAAGTCAATGAGTTGGCTTACTCACTGAAAACAATCCATTCCCTGTGTGGTTGATGCCTTATCTCAGTTATAAAGTAGAGAGGCTGAAGGAGGCTGAGGAGTAAAACGGTTTTCACTACGTTAAAAAAGACAGTTCAGAGAGCTCAGTAGCTGAAACTTAAAGCTGAACTATGGACAATTAAATACACAGCTGAGATACATATACAGAGTGTTCTTACCTGAGATTTTCTAATACATTTATAGAAGAACTATGGGGTCAGGGCTTTTCCACACAGTTCTCCTAAGGGTAACGGGAGAACACAAATTAGCGTCCTTTGTCACCCAAAGACGCCGCAGCAGGAATGGATACCGACATTAATGTCTGGATCCACCCAGCTGCGTGAGTGACAGGCAGCCTCCCCCGTCCGTTCCGCCAGTCCGCGCTGCAGGATCGGAGGGGGGGGGGGGGGAAGTTCTCCTTTAAAGTGCATTTCCACTTTTGCAGCCAGATGGGGAGAACACAAAGTTTTTCTCTAAACTGAATTTCCCTACACAATGCAAGAAGGATAGGGAGGCTAATATTTACAATAAATAACCCTGTCGGTACTGTGATGGCAAATCTTATCAGTTGTAAACTAGATTTTAACACTGTGTTAAACAACTAGAAGCATTGTATGTTAATGAGAGGAAGCTCAGAGTGCCCTTGGTTTTTCTATGGACAGTCAGCGTTTCCTATCACTTTGAAATTGTACAGAAAAGCATGCAGTCTGTCCAAAGGCCTGCTTAACAGAGTTATCTAAAAGGCAAGAAATATAACATTTTATTTTTAGGTAAGCTGTGTGAATAGGAAACACTTAACAGACATATAGTGAGGTTTTCTCAAAATATATAATTAAGTGGAAATATACTTTATGCAATATACCAAGGATACCTTCCTCTCCCCTAGTGTGTGACTGGACAGTATAAGAATAACAGTAGGCTGATAAGATATGTTGAAGCTGAACTCCAGCCCTACTTTCAGTCTTGCACAGTTAAAAAGCCACCTCTCCTGTACTGAAATAGTCTATACTCTGATTTCACTGCACACTGCGAGCTTCTCAAAACATGCACTAGAACAGGGGTCTCAAACCTCCGGCCCTCCAACTGTGGTGGAACTACAAATCCCATGAGGCATTGCAAGATTCTCACAGCCACAGACATGACTCCCGAAGAGAGATGCATCATGGGATTTGTAGTTTCACCACAGCTGGAGGGCCGTAGGTTTGAGACCCCTGCACTAGAAGCTGCAGCAAGTCAGATAGAGGCTGCTTTGTTTTCTTGCTGGAGGATGTCCCTGGTCCCTTACTGTCCTTAGCACATCCCTTTCAGTCACTGGGTGGATTTCTGTTCTTTCATTAACTGAGACTCAGCATTACTAAGGGCAGTCTAGAAGCAAATGCAGGAACTCCTTCAAATGGACATTTTGGTATTTGCATAACTCATTCTAAGAACGAGTCCTCTAATTGCATTCATTGGTCTCCCCCCCGCACACTGCTATGTGCATTTTTCTAGCAAACATTTACATAAAAACACGGATTCTTGGCTTGCATATATTGCAATACATGTTGAACCATTACCTTTGGCATAATCTGCCCCAATTAATTCTTTTTAAGCATACAGTCCATAAGAGCACTGATCAAAGGGGAGCATGTTTGGCCCCTGGAAGGCACCACAATTAAAGCATATTGGACCTCTCCACTGTTGGTTTGGCACATCTGGTGGTTGTACTTGCTTTGAATCACTTTTGGTAGGGATGCACCGATACTAGTATCGGTGCCCATGCCGAGTATTTGGGCGAGTACTCGTATGCTCCAACTCATAGGCAATGCTCCAATGCCTAGCCCGATACTTCCGGTATCAGGAAGCCGGGCAGTGCTTCATTACACCCTGCCCAGCTTCCTGATACCGGAAGTGACGAGAGAGAATGGAGCCGGCTTCCCGGCCAGTCAGAAAGCCGGGCAGTGTGTAATGACACGCTGCCCGGCTTCCTGATTGGATGGAAACTGGCCAATCAGTAAGCCAGGCGCCGTGTAATGACGTGGCATCCGGCTTTCTGATTGGTCGGGAAGCCAGCTTCATGTTCCCTCATCACCTCATGACGAGGGAGCATGGAGCCGGCTTCCCAGCCAATCAGGAAGCCGGGCGCCGCATCATTATACAGTGCCCGGCCTCCTGATTGGACAGAAAGCCGCCTCCATGCTTTCTCGTTACCTAGTGACGAGAAAACATGGGGGCAGCTTCCTTGCTAACCGGAAGCCGGGTGGCGAGTCTTTACGCGCTGCCCGGCTTCCTGGCTAATCAGGAAACCAGGGAGAGTCATTACATGTCGACTGGCTTCCTCAATGGGACTTCCGGTACTCGGTGTCGGCGAGCACCGGAAAAAAAATATCGGGACTCGTACTCGATACCAAAATACTGGTATCGGTGCAAAACTAACTTTTGGGGTACCTGCCAAAGGGCAGCCTTATTCCACATGAGCAGCCTTACTAGAGGGAGTCAGCTTAGTGCCTCTTTGATATATCTTTATGGAGCCCACTGCTTTCATCAGGACTGAGGGCTCTTCAGAGGTATACTGAGGCACAGTGCTGCGATGTTTTCAGGAAGCTCTGCACAGCACACTGCCAGCCCCTCCCACCAGCCATGATCTGCCTGTATTGCATTGAGAAGCACAGAAACCTATGTGTAAAATAAGGCATGAAAACTGAAAGGTTGCATTTAAAAATGTCATTAGCTTGTTGATAATGAGTGGGAAGGAGAAAAGAAGAAAAGCAAAAACATAAGCAGAATAACCTCCAGCTTTAAAGGAGAACTATGAGGTGAGTGCTTTTCACTCACCTCATAGTTCTAGCCGACCTGTGACATACTGGCGTTCGCTCACCTCTCGATCCGGCGTTCGCTCACCTCTCGACGGGGGAGGGGGCGGGTACAGCTGGCTCTGCCTCTAGATAGGCAGAGCCAGCTGTCAGTCACGCAGCTGGGTGGATCCAGACATAATTGTCGGGATCAGCTGCGGCGTCTCAGTATACCGCGAGCAGCAGCTTGCGGTATACTGCGGCGTCTCAGTATACCGCGAGCTACAACTCGCGGTATACTGGGCCTAGGGTGAAGGGAGGACGCTAGTTTGTGTCCTCCCGTTACCCTAAGGAGAACTATGGGGAAAAGCCTTATCCCCATAGTTCTGCTTTAACTATCTTTACTGTAACAAGAAACGGGTACAAAAAACATACAATTAGTGCAGCACAAATAACCTTATAACTTTACTTGCTCACCTGCACTTTATGAATTAGGGATTCCTCTCCTTTAGCTTTGGCCATCACAAGCTGCTCTTTTAAAGATTTCATTTGCTGGTGAAGCACTGCAAGAGTTTCCTGATGATCCACAAAGCTGTCCTGTAGACAGTAATGCACCACTTTACTTGCTGCATAAAGATTTCAAGCAGTTCACAATTAATTATATGATTTTAAAAGAGTACTGCTCCATGCACATCTGTTTTTTCAGGCGTATTCAGGCTTGAGAGTTTTTGTTTTAGCCAATGAAAAGCTAGGAACTAGGAGAAGGAGATGGTTGTTTAGCCCCGAAAAACTTCTTTTCAGGTATCAGCGGGCATTTTTTAAGCACTTCCATTAAAGTCTATGAGGCCAAAAATGCCTCATGCTGCAAAAGTACCGTAGCTCATGTACCTTTTTGAGCTCCAGGCTCCTGAGTGTTCATATGTGAACAGGCACAATCTACTGCATGGGGTTTTGGAGCGTTGACGTTTAAGCTATGAATTGGTCAGGTGTGACCTGCTCAAGGAAGTGGTTCTGTGTACGTTTAATTTCTTCAGATATTATGATCAGGACTCCAAACAAAAATATGTTCTCTCTTTTTTTAGCCAGGTATGAAATAAAATATTGTTAATATGAATCTTTTTTGCCAGGTACAGGATACATTATTAATATTAATTATAATAAAATATTATTGTTTTGTAAACTCCATTTGCAAAACATGGTGGAGCTTTAGACATATTTTCAATGTATATCTCTATCTCTTTGCCCAAAAAAACAAAACCCTGCTATTTGCAAAACTCAATAGCTTGAGCTGAAATTCACACACAAGCAAGTCAGAGTCAGCCATACACTGTATTTTTTACAAGATACCACAAAAAACATAAGGGTGGTAAGATTTCTTCATCCATGCTGTTTAGTGTGGACGGGGAAATCTTCCCTGTCGGTCCATTTTATTCTGACAGCCAGCACTTGCATCTGTCAGAATCCATAAATGCTGACTGCAGCTGGTTTGTTTCACTCACTGTTCGCCAAACAATTTTTATCCTGGTTCCTTTAATAAAAAGTTGATTGAACAATCAACTTTTCTCGAATGGAGGGGTGCCAACACCCCTTAAGTAGAGTGAAAAGGGGATGGAGTTTTATACAAAGTTTTTTTATTGCTTCCTGTATCTTCTTGTCCCACTGACACCCATTCCCTTTATTTCTTGTTCTGGGGTTACAGAGACAGAAAATTAGGCAAATATTCTCAGCTAAGACACAGACCAAAATGAAAATCAGATAGAAATGTTAACTCCTTCCCACTCCATGTAAAACTAAAAAAAATGGATAGCGTCAGGCCCTATATAACATACCCTTTAGATGTGCCATTTATTTCATGTATTTCATCCTTTCTAACACCTTGTACAAGGAAGCTGTCCATCTAGTTAACTTCCTCTTGTTACCAGTAATTTATTTTTCTGAAATCTCAGCCCGTGAAAACGCAGGTTAGTGTGTTCCGTGGTTCAAATACCATACTTTTTCTAAACCTGCAGCAGGTTTGTCTACACACACTGGACCATAAGAGGAGCAGGTTTCAAAAAACAATAGCATGTAACCAGAGGTTGTATCCAGGGGTGTAACTTCAAATCATGGGGCATGTGGCAGTGCATGGGAGTGCCACTGCGTTATCTCCATTCCTGTGTCCAGAATCTGAGTGGCCAGCGCATGCTGATGGCACAGGTGTGCACAGCCTTTAAATTAAAGTTTTTGGGAAGGGTTCAAGACTCCACCTGGGAGACAGAAAAGCTCCACCCAGGAGTCAGAGTGGAGTCCAGTGCAGCAGGGTGCTGCGGATTGGGAAGAACCCCCAGTGTGCAGGTTAGCACACGACTGAGGCTGTCTGGAGGAACAGACAGTGGGCTGAGGCCGGAGCAGCAAATGCAAAGCCAGGAGGCTGGATGGGCATGTGCTGCCATGAGATGTTAAAGAACCCCTGCGAGGGTAATTGTTCTGTTTTGAGAACTTTCACTTAATAAAAGTGGGCAAGGAAGCCCTTGAATGAAGATTGCAGCGAGTGGATGCGTCCTTAATGCGCTACCATTGGAAGCTAAATCTCACAGGCACCATAGCAAAACTTTGGGGCCCACTGGCTTACCCTCTCTGTAGCGACTGGCAGTGCCAACTGTGACAATGTGTGTCATTGATCTTAACATGAAGTATGGATCAAGGACAAGCAGTAGGATAGTGGTCTGTATAGTCAGCACCCTACTAAGGAGCAGTCCTGGTAAAAGTTATAGTAGCATTAATTATAACCACAATGATATTTTACATTATGATAAAATGATTATTGATCTTGCACACACTTCCTCTTCAACCCAAATACAACCCTCTTTAAACTCTAGCTTCATTAAACTTTTGTGTAGAATTACAAACGTCGACCCTCCTATATGGTTTTAACAGTGGGGACACTCTGGGATTTGTGGCTGCATTGGGCATACAGAGTTAATTTCAGTCTGTAGCAGAGGTTCAGGGGACAATAAATTTATATTGCTAAGATAGATAAGCAAATACTCCTTACTGCACAGAGGGGGATCTGTGACTAGATGATCCTGAGATCTGGAAACTTCACAGTTTAAAGGAGAACTATGGGGTCAGGGCTTTTCCCCATAGTTCTCCTTAGGGTAACGGGAGGACACAAACTAGTACTGAGATGCCGCAGCCGGAGCGGATACCGACATCGATGTCGAGATCCGCCCAGCTGCGTGAGTGACAGCTGGATCTGCCTATCTAGAGGCAGAGCCAGCTGTACCCGCCCCCTCCCCCATCCGTTCCGCCAGTCAGCGCTGGCAGATCGAAGCGGGGAGGGGGGAATCCAGCCCCTCCCCTGTCACGGCAGAGAGCCGTGACAGGATCGAGAGGTGAGTGAACGCCGGTATCTGTTCGCTCACCTCCCGATCTACTGAGCCGACCTGTGACAGTCTCATTGTCACAGGTCGGCTAGAACTATGAGGTGAGTGGAAATCACTCATCTCATAGTTCTACTTTAATATACCCAATAAGCTCCCCTAGTGGGGTCCTTTCCTACCCAAGGCCCTATAGCAGCCACATGAGCTTCTGTGGCTATATTATGCCACTGGTTGTATTCTAGGCTACACTGGATTTGATAAAACCTTTAGAAAATGCTAATTGATTGGATTTCTCTCAAATTAATACTTTTAGGGTAACAGATCTGGAAGAAATTAATCTTTGGCGGCAGCTGCTGTTTATTCCAACACTGTAAACATATGTAATGGGGATACATCTGGTAATTCTTCAAGCTTTTTGCACTGTCCCATAGCACTCTGGAAAAGGCAATCCGGCTGATCCCTAACATTTTTGGGATGCTAAACAGATTTGTATTATTAAAGCAACATGGGAGGTGGCAGCTAAACATTTAAGTTCTCTGATGGTGTGGAGGTGAAATATAAACTTCTGGTTATGTTGAGAGAGCTTCTCCAGTGCCATACATTCAATCTCACTTTCTTAGAATGCCCTACAGGCCTTTAACCTTTAGACGGGTCATTGTCCCCCAACCTGACAAAAAACAGATGGATTAGGCAATTATGATCTCATGTCCATTGGTGCCTTTATAGTAGCAAGTGCGTTTCACTTGCTACTCTTTCTCCTTCTATTTGTTACTCATTCTAAAGGCTACATTTCTTTTAGTTGTGTTATTTTATGTGGGTTTGCATCAAGCTATTGATTAAGGAATGCTACCTCTTTCTGCTCTTTAATATGTGATCCTGATTCTGGCATTATAACTCTTCTCGTGTAGAATCATGGTTTTGGCACAGGACACAAGATACTGCAATTACAAATAGTATCTCCCAAATATTGGTTCTAGCTCTAAACATGTTAGAAAGCTGCAACTACCTTATAATAATCATAATAAATAAGAATAATTGTGAACAATTTAAAAAAGGTTATATAAATGATACAATCAACTATATTTATGCAAAGTGCAGAATGCATCAGTTGATCCAACAAAAGCAAATTCAACCATGGGCCTTGTTGAGGGACTTCACTGCTCTTCACTACTGAAGACTCTGATGTGTGTAGTAAAAGCTTAAAATAGATTCTATTTTCAGTGTCTTTTCATGTTATTGTGTTCGATATAATTAGTCATTTTGATTTAACTTATCTGCATGATCTAAAGATTAAAACAAAAGTAAGTATAGTAAGAATGAAAAAATGCGAATGCTCCCTGTTAGAAGAAAGAAAAGATCAATGCAACCCACACAATGATGATCAAATATCTAAAAAGGTAGACTACAAAAATGACACATTACCTCAGTTTTAATCCTCTTAGGTGACAGCTCATCTCTATCTTCATATTTGGACCTGGAATTAATGCAAATTGAAAACTGGTAGGTGTTCATATTACAGCCTTTTTGTAAATCTAAAGTAGATTGAACAAAGATTGTACAGTAAAAATGTAACATGTATTGTGAGCTTTTAAGTGGAAGTAAAGGGAAAATAATAATAATATTTTTTTAAAGTGTCCCCAGGACCTTATAGCTATAATGTGCTAGTATGTGCAGCATATTAGCATGTATTATATTAGCACAATATGGCAGACTTACCTCCCCACAACCATCCACTCCAGCGTTGCAATCTCAACACTCCCCTCTCTCGTTGGCACTTTGCCCCGGTCTTCTTCCAAGAATGGAGTTTTCAGCCACTTGATTGTTCTTTGCCCTCAGATTTGTGGCTATCCATGTGTCCATTTTTATAAAGGAAGAGCATCCATAAGTATATTTGGGTACTTATAAATATGGTTAGAAGGAAACTCCACCCATCCCTCAAATTAGGTTTTTATTACTGAAATTAGAGGATAGGTTGTGCACAAGCGAGATAACCTTTCATAATTGGTAAGAAGAAACTGCTAAAAGATTTTGATCTGATCATTGAAAGAGGCTACATTATGCACAATGCACAGTATAGCAAACTTTATGAATGAATAGGTATGCTGGTATTGCATGTTTACTGTCCGTGTCTAATACCAGATGAAACAACTGGCAAGGAAACTCCAAACAAGTTCTCCCCCTGAGAGCAGCTGGCCATGGTCCTCTGCTGACATTTGAAATTGTACAAAAACACGGCAATTGTCATCATCAAGTCATCATCTATTGCCTATTGGTACTTTAAAGAAGAACTCCAGGCAATCTAAACATTAACCCTTGCAGTGGGGCCAGCCCCATACTGCAAGGGTTAACTGCTTGCTTTGGTCTAGTGGCAAAAATAAAGAAAATATACGTATCTGAGCCTCGGTCCTGTTTGGCATCTAGACTGGTGTCCCCTGCAGCCTGGTCTCCTCCAGACTCCAGCAGTCTAAGGACCTGGCAACTGCATTAGACGTGAGGATGCCAAGGGACATTCCACCACCAGAGAAGGGAGGAGAGAGGTGAGCAGTCACCTCTGCAGGACTGAGGATGCTGTCAATTTGCATTACCAGATAGAGACCATTCCTTTTGGTGGACCTATTCGCTATGTGTGGTTTGTTAAATGTTGTAGTATATAGCCTACACATTGGAGCTGTATACTGTATATTGTTAATAATGTCTATAAAAACTCATTGTTTGGCAGGGGGGGGCAACTTTGTAAGACATTCATTTCATTCTTACTTTGTAGTTCTGTAAGTATATTTGTATGTGACTTCCCTGGAGATTTGTCTTGCCAGCGTGAAAAGCTCATCTCTTCTAGTCAGCAAAGCGTTGTCCTTCATGCAAAGTTGGGCAGCAGCTTCATTTACTGTTAGCTGTAACACACAAGAAGAGAGTTTCAATGTGGAGACATTGCAGTACATATTTAAAGTGTATGTTACCCTAATTTATTTTTCTGTGTGGGTCTAATAATATCGGTTTCACATACTGCATTATAATTACCTGGAAGTTCTGCCAATCCCCTTCCTTCCTTGCTCTAAACTAACCATGCAAAGCATGGAAACAGATCTGTGCTTGCATGGTCAGTTTGCATGCCAGGGCTTACAGTTTAGAGGTACAGGACGACGTGCAGACACACAATGTGCCTGTATCTTCTGTAGTCCGTTCAACCACCACGCCCCCCACCCACCTCTGCCCTGTTGATTGACATTGGCTACTGCAATCTGACCATTATTATTATTATTATTACATAGTATTTATATAGCGCCAACAGTTTGCGCAGCGCTTTACAATATAAGGAAGACATAACAGTTACAATACAATTCAAGACAAGATGGTAAGGAGGGCCCTGCCCCTGAGGGCTTACAATCTAAAAGAGGAGGGGGAAATGATACATGAGGTAGCTGTGGGAATGAATTATGTGAGAATGTGAAGGTTCAGTGTTTAGGTTTACACCCTAAATATGGGTGTAACATAAAACATGGTAAGAAAGGTAATCCTAGCCTTTATTGATTTTACCAGATGTGCAGCGCTAATCATATAAGCAACCAGTGTGTGAAATAAACTACGTGATAGCCTAAATCCCTGTATGTGTCTAATATTTAACTACTAATTATCCAACCGTGGTTGGTTGTGAGCAAATGGTTAACCTCAATGTGTCTAAATCACTCTATAATTCAGGGCTATCTCATGCCCAGACAACATGTGTCAAACAGATGTGAATCGTGATCAATAAAACTTGATATATAAGTTAATAAACCCCTGTTAATGGATAAGTGAAAAAATACATAACTTAATTATGCATCCGTAATCCCAATATCCCTTTACTTAATAATAATGAAACACCGTGAATAGTCCGTCTGTTAATATGACAATCTTTGTGCAACCAAAAAAAAATTATAATAATAATTTCTCCAATCTGTGCGCTGATTGTGAAGCCTCCGATCACGGGGGTTCTGTGAAAAGTTGTTGGCGATTTGGGCAAGTGCCACAAGTCTCCCCTCAAAGTGCCACAAATCGCTTATGTAATCTCTCACGGAGCTGCAGCATCCTCACTGTATCTTGTAACCTTTTTATTGGATTTAAATAAATATCTTTGGAAATACAACACAATGAGGAGCTTTTTCTTTACATGAGTTTGGAGGCACGTCACGCTTTGGATATCGATCAGAACAAGATACAGCGAGGACGCTGCAGCTCCGTGAAATATTACATAAGCGCTTTTTGGCTGCTTATCACAGCCATCGAAGTACGGTGAGTGCGCACTTTGAGGGGAGACTTGTGGCACTTGCCCAAATCCCCAACAACTTTTCACAGAACCCCCGTGATCGGAGGCTTCACAATCAGCGCACAGATTGGAGAAATTATTATTATTATTTTTTTTGTTGTTGTTGCACAAAGATTGTCATATTAACACACGGACTATTCACGGTGTTTCATTATTATTAAGTAAAGGGATATTGGGATTACGGATGCATAATTAAGTTAGGTATTTTTTCACTTATCCATCAACAGAGGTTTATTAACTTATATATCAAGTTTTATTGATCACGATTCACATCTGTTTGACACATGTTGTCTGGGCATGAGATAGCCCTGAATTATAGAGTGATTTAGACACATTGAGGTTGACCATTTGCTCACAACCAACCACGGTTGGATAATTAGTAGTTAAATATTAGACACATACAGGGATTTAGGCGTAGTTTATTTCACACACTGGTTGCTTCTATGATTAGCGCTGCACATCTGGTAAAATCAACGATTGGACTTAGTTGTCTATTGCGCAGCAGCTCTTCCATCACTATTTCTTTATCACTTTAAGTTCACTTATTTAGCGCAGAAATAAATACATAATCCTAGCCTTTAACCCCTTCATCTCCTCCTCCCTCCGTTTATGACCTGCGCATGAATGATGCATTGTATCTACTGAACCTTTACTAAGCATCATATTTTAACTACCTTAGTACCAGCATGTTGCCTCATTTCCAAACAATTGTGGCAGAAAATGGGATCACTTTTGGGTGTCTAATTTCCCAAAAGGGATCATTTTGGGTGTGCCCACAAAGCTAAAACGTGAACAATAGCCTGGTAATGACACAATATATATAGGCTAGTATTTAAGTGTTTCAGGGGAAAAGGCAAAGAAGAAATTTGTCCGGGTTGATGAAAGTAAACTAAGGGTTAATAAGGGGTTACAGAGGAACACATTTCATTAAAAAAAACAAAACACTTTTTTTACATTTCAGGTTGCTGAGATCATATGCAGAATAAAGACCGTCCTGTTGATCTACATACAGTATGAATAAAACAGAGTATATACAATAGTAACAATGTTTCTTTGTATCTCTCTATTTTGCATCTAAACAATGTTACTAAATAGTGTCAGATGGTCTGTCTTTGGACAGCTCCAGATTCTACAGCTGCTGCATTTACAGAGGAACTTCCTGAGATTAAAGTGATAGTCGAAAATTGCTGGCAAGTGCAAAGGGGCAGTGGCAGCGGAGGGAGGACTGAGTGTCCTACATACGTCCTGTGTACTTCGATTAAGTTTTTTTTGGGAGCTTGTAGTACACTCAGTGTCCACAATTAGTTAATACAATAATGGAAATATGGAACAAGCATGTAAAAATACGACAACAAATAAGAGTTTGGGTTAAACATTACAATAATAATGAAAAGATTTGCTCACTAAAACACTATCCTTTCCTAAAAGGTTAACGTCTATCTAATTTTCAGTACAAAATTTGTAGGAAGTTTTTTTCATAGTAAGTGATTTAACAAAAAGCAAAATAATGTAATTTTCGCTAAAGCAATTATTTATCTGGACAATGTATTGCACTTGCATAAACATACTGCCATCTAAATGTGGTAGCTTCATGTGGTTTCATATGCGTTTAGTACTCTGGAAACTGAATGTCAATGGATCCTATAATTGCTTAACAGCAAAGAGCACCACAGGACCAGCAAAATCCCAGGGCTAGCCTGCTTCCGCCACAATTGGTTACTAAATCTACCCATTACGTATAGGGACCGGTAGTGAGGTAGAAAGGGACTGTCTTTCTTTAATTCAGTCTAGCTCAAATTTTAGCTTTCTGGGTTTTGGGGGAAGAAAGAAAGAAAATGCAAGATATATGGTAATATTCTTAACAAAAACACTTTTTTTTCTAAATAGAGTGGGGAAGGGATTTATTAGGCATTGGGATAGAAATATCCTGTTTTGGATAGAAATATATTTATAGAAACATAAAAAAAGAGAATAAGAATTATTACTTACTATTCTTACTACTCCTGGCTAGCTAAATTAAGAGAAAAAAATAAAAATTGTGTGTATATCTATCTATCTATCTGCAGATAGATAGATAGATAGATAGATAAATATATGTGTAAGAATTAGCATTCATCTATGTAAATACATTTTTTTTTTTAGAGAATCTCAAAAATGTTTGGGAGAATCTCAAAGTTTAAGTGCAATCCAAGGTTTTTCTTTTCATCTGTAACAATCCTTTACCCTAATCAATGTGCTTTACATTTTTCATAATTGTGCCATAATGGAACTACCAAGATTACGTGGGTTCTTTTAATTAATCTGTGAAAAGTTGAAAAAACAAAGTCCTCACCACAATCGGGGGGTCGAGGTAAGATGGCCTCGGGAGTGAAAGGTAAGGTGTGCAGCTTCTAGTATAATCGGACCGGGGTGTCCGAAATGTGGTGTGTAAGGACAAAGAAAGCCGAACAAGAAGCGGTACGACCAAAAGAGGTAGCGGTTTTGCCTGTTGTTCTGGGTAAATGTTCACGGTGTCTGCTGTGCCCACGTCTTCCACAGCAATGGAACCATCAGAACACTTCCCTCGTTGATGACATCACATCTCCTACAACTTCCTGGTGAGTCTCTACATTGTTACACTTGTTTAACACATTGCTCGAGGTTCACCTGTACCATTTCTCTTCCCTTGTCTTGGATCACACCAACACCATCCGAAAAGTGACAACTGACACCGTGAACATTTACACAGAACAGGCAAAACCGTCAGTTCCAGCCATTTTTGTCCTGTCCATTGACATTAATACCTCTTTTGGTTGTAGTACTTTTTCTTCTGTTTTACATGAATCACCCTGGCTAGCTGTAAGTTATACGATTGTGGTACAGCCAAGCCAAACTTCCCCAGATAGGCTAGAACCTTCCACTTCATGGAAATATCTATTTCACCTTGGCATTTTGCCTTGGCCTAGCTGGGGCTCTGAATGGTAGTGGGGGTGGGTTAGTTCCTGGTCCCGTAATTGTTTTCTTTTTATTTAAAAATGAATGCTTACTGAAAGTCTTGAAAGACACTGATAATGGTCACAGTCTACCACCTAGCAAGATGGAAATTTTGTTGTGTAGCCAGTTCTTGGTTCCCAATGTCATATGGTGCAAGTGTTCTGAATAATCAGCTTTCAGCTACATGGTGATTCCTTTAGTTGTGAAAGCTACATAGCCAAAACAAATCAGAAAATAAGTCCAACATCTGCAATGATCATTTGCTGTTTTCTTGTTTTGAATAGTAAATTACAAAAGCCCCTAATGAACCGTTGAGAATTTTTTGCTTGAATGACTGAAGTTCACCCAAAAAACACTTTGGTAGTTTATACATTAATAGTCATAAAATATGTGGATCAATTTCTTGTAATATACCTTATGAGTTTTGACAAATAACTGCATAAATCTTTAATGAAAGAAAACTAAAACATACGATTGTTTACCTCATGCAGAGTTAAGTGCTTTCCATCTTTTCTTTTAGAGTCAAACCTGCCATAAATTGCACTGTACTTTCGTATCTCTTCTTCCTTGCGAGGGTCCTCATCCGTCATTTCAAAGATATGCCCTATCATCTTTCCCAGCTTTTTGTTATTTTTTAACAGTTCTTTAACCTCATTCAAGTCATTTTTCGGTAATGAAGGTAGCATTCTTTCAACACACTCTGCTACAGACAGAGCAGCAGCAGCATCCAAGGTCTCAGTGGTGTCTCTAGGTGATGCTGGAGAACCAAGATCAGCTGGAGATAGGCTGTGTTCACTCTCTGTAGTTTGATGACTTTGCCAGTGCCTTGCTTCATTGCTAACCTGCAATGGGGAACTACATGTACCTTCTGATTTCCCAGGACCCACACTTTGTACACAAGTTGTAGCTGCACACTTTGGAATTTTCAGGTGTGGTTCTCTGGTATTATTGTTCCTTTCGTAACTGCTAGAGTTTAGTCCCAACAAAGAAGGTGACGTTTCTGGAAGCTTGTAGATTGGAATGCTGCTAACAGGTAATGATGTCAAAGGCTGGTTAAAGAGACTGGGGTTGGTAACCCAATCTCTTAAGGCCTTCTGCAGTCTTCTAACATGTAGTGGTTTGCTAGCCATTCCAACAAGTGCCATTATCTCAAGAAACTCATCTTCCCCTGCTTCACAGAGCTGCTGGACATCATCTCCACCCTGCTGTATAAAGGCATCAAAGTAAGACAAGAGGTTGGCTCGTTGTAGTATCCTGTAAAGTTGAAGTTCCCCTAGAGTCCTTGGTAATGAAGTTGCCATTTTTGATCAGCAAGACAGACCTGGAAAAAAAAAAAAAAGATAAGCCTTTTATCTAAAATGATTTTACATTTAAATGTAATATGGGTTCTTGTAAACCTGACTTAGCTAACAGAATCAATTTTTTCCACTTTCCAATAAGATTTTGTTTCCATGGAAAAGAAAATGTGTAAGGGGTACAGAAAAAATAAATGGTTAAAAGGAGAACTATGAGATGAGTGATTTCCACTCACCTCATAGTTCTAGCCGACCTGTGACAATGAGACTGTCACAGGTCGGCTCAGTAGATCGGGAGGTGAGCGAACACATACCAGGTTCGCTCACCTCTCGATCCTGTCACGGCTCTCTGCCGTGACAGGGGGAGGGCTGGATTCCCCTCTCCCCGCTCCGATCTGCCAGCGCTGACTGGCGGAACGGACGGGGGAGGGGGCGGGTACAGCTGGCTCTGCCTCTAGATAGGCAGAGCCAGCTGTTACTCACGCAGCTGGGCGGATCCCGTCATCTACGTCGGGATCCGCTCCGGCGTCTCAGTATACCGCGAGCTGTAGCTCGCGGTATACTGAGCTTAGGTTAAAGGGAGGACGCTAGTTTGTGTCCTCCCGTTACCCTAAGAAGAACTATGGGGAAAAACACTGACCCCATAGTTCTCCTTTAAAGGGACAATGCAGAAAGGTAGTAACACAAACAAAATTACACATTTCCCTGTCAGTGGATACATGAATTCACAAAGTGTTAGAACAGGAATAAATAAAGTATAAAAACATTAAAAAATTAAGGATATGCAGGTACGTAGTTTAATAACTCTTGGGAGCATGAGTGCACTGTTGATAAATGTAATGTTAACACCATATATAGTAAATGTAGGAATAATTAAAATAAAAAGGTTTAAAGAAGAATTCCAGGCATTTTAAACATTAACCCTTGCAGTGCGGCTACCCCTGCACTATAAGGGCCAAGCGTTTTTTTTGGTATAGCAGCGTCCTCTTGTCTAATGGAAATCAATAGACTGCCACAGACGTGGTGACATCAGCTGGGCTTAGACAGACAAAGAAGAGGCTATGGGGACAAGTCTAGGAGCCAGATGGTACCATTGACTAGGCGAGTATTAACTTTCTTTTTTTAGCTTGTAGAGCATAACAAGCACTTAACTCTTGCAATGTGGGACTAGCCCCACTGCATGGGTTAATTTTTAAAATGCCAGAGTTCTTCTTCAAACCTCTGATGGCTTTCTTTAATCCTTGTGTCTTTTAACAAAGTGTAACTGCCCCATACTAGCATTTCAGCAGGTGTTTACAAAAAGGTTGAGTAATGGGGAAGGGGGCTGGAAACAGATGAAGAAATACTTAAGGATACATTAAAGCCGATACAAGTGTGGCATTGGTAGGAAAATTATACTGAAAGAGGGCTTTGAGTTCAGAAGCATATCATGTAATGGGGTGCAGGTACTGGACTGAGATAACTGGCCAAGTAGTGTAACTATAGCCATAGCAGCCCAAGCAGCTGCTATAGGGCCTGGGAGTGGAAGGGGCCCAATTCATTGTTGAAGCAAATTAAACCTAGAACATGTGAAGATAATATAGTACTGTAATCATTAAGGGTTGGAGTGGTTGCAGTTGACGACGACTCTAATCCCCTGTAAAGTCTACAGTGTAGAGACGACTTTAGATGCACAAGAGGAGTCTTTGGGATTTTGGCATCATTACTCACAGCTCAGAGAGATGTCATCAGGGGGGCTCCCATCACATTCTTGCTATGGGGCCCCGTGATCTGTAGTTACAGCCCTGATGTGGCTCATTTTTTTATTTGGAAGCTTCTATAGTCATAGATGAACTTCATGAGAGGAGTAGTAGTGGTAATTTGCAACAGCCATGACTCTTTGGGAGGTGAAGCCTGGATCCATGTTCAGTATCTGTTTGTTTGTGGGCCACAAAAAGGGCTTCATGTAGAAAAATAGAGGTATATTTATCTAATTGCAGGTCATTCAATACACCACCCAAGATCTTAGGATTCAGAGTGACAGGGAAGCCCATCCCATCATGTATAAACTGAATTATCTGAGGCCAAAACACCTGAATGACTGGGCACATCCACAACTGATAGGAAAAAGTCCCTTGTGCAGTGGAGCATTTGGGAACAAAGGACTATGAGGGGGTACAAACTTAAAGAGTGTATTAGGCATCAAGTGTGATCTCTAAAGTATAGATAATTGTCTGTCAGCTAACTTGGAAGAAATTAGTTTGTGTGTCTTGAAGGACTCATCCCCCTCTTCCTCATACTTGGCAAACATTTTGTTCAAAGTTAGGTTATTTTGGAGCCAATTGACAAGGTGAATTTAGGTGGCTTTGGGGGTGCAATGGACTTTATATGGCTCCCGTGAGTTACTGGAAGCTTCTTTATTTATTTTTTCTTATTATATATCTTTACATTACCTCTTACAGGCTAAAGAAAACAATCCCCAAGTTTTGCTTGGGATAACAGATGGACACACTTCTGGCTGCCAGATTCATTCTTGGCTACAGAACTGCACTGTTAGGTCTGCCGGGAGCCATTTTAAAGGGAACACTGAACAAACAATTGGTACTGAGAAGTGCATACACCACACCAATGCTGTAGAAGTGCTCTAGAATAAATGTTATAATTTCACTTATTTTTTTTAGAAGAACAATGGCACTGCCCCTACCCCCATCACAGTGCCAAACACAGGCTTATGTGAGAGGGAATCACCATCTTGTTGTGATAGGATATAAATGGTGGCAATTCTTTTTATATTAAAATGACTAATACAATAATGAATCTCCTTATAAACATCCCTGTGCCACTTTATAGTTAATAATACTGAACATGCCAATAAAACTGCCAAATTTGCATGAAATTGTTGGATGGTCAGCAACTAAAGATGCAAGGAACGGTAGCATCTTTCAGGTTTCCAATTATCATTCAGACTAATGACCACCACCCCACTACCCAACCCTTAACAGGTGTGTCGCTCCTGCATGGGGATGGATGAATAGATAAACCCAGGCACACAGCAGAGCAGGACAATAGGAGACCTGCCTTCCATATTCTTGTTAGCTGGTAGCTACCAGAAAACATAAATAATATTTTTCATAGAAGAAATCAAGGCTCTGAACATGAATCGGTTTTGTAGCTGCAGTTGAGTACACATGGTTACACTACAAATCCCATCATGTCTTTGCTTCAGACTGTCACAGTACTCCAATACTTCATGGGATTTCTAGTTTCACCATAGCTGGCGTGCTGAGATTGCCTACCCCTGCTTTATACTCTGATAGTTTCAGCACTGCTTGACATCCATTTCCTTTGAAACGTCTACACAGCTTTTCATGCTTTATACCTTAAAGTGACATTAAACCCTCCGATTTTTTAACATAAACCAATACTGTAATGTGTGCCTTACTGTAATCCATGGTAGTTTCCCTTCTCTTTGCTGCTCTTCCTTTTAAATCCCCATGTCTTCTCATGCTTGGGGAGAACTTCCCTTTGCAGCTGAGTGCCTCTTCCTGTAGTGCTGGCTCAGGTTACAAACCTACACACAGACACCATGTATCCATTCCAGAGACAAGGCAGTCTGCTGCAAAACAGAAGTTCTGCCCAGCATGAGAAGAGATACAGATTTAAAAAGGAAGAGCAGCAAAGAGAAGGGAAACAACCATGGATTACAGTAAGGCACACATTACAGTATTGTTTTATGTTATAAAATCTGAGGGTTTAATGTCACTTTAAACTAAAATTGCAGTGTATGCTGTGAGCAGGCAATTCCTTTTATAAAAACCACAGAAAGAATGGGACTTTTATAAAAAATGAAAAATCCAGAGGTCCCATGTACAATCTGATGGGCTTTATCCAATAGATTCATTCTAGAGTACTACTTACAAATGTATAAAAGTCCTTCATTATAATAATGATTTAAATATCAAGGGCAGCAAAAACTGTAGAGAAATAGGAGTAATATTACTAATTCGAACTTCCAACTAACTACATGTGTATCAGTGTTCCACTGATTTTTACAATGTAGGTTTACTCCTACGTCTTAACTAACATTTTCTTCAGGAATCTTCACACAGACCTTACAGAATCCACCCACTCACTCGGGTCATGCACAAGATAATTTACAAACATATGCATTCCCAAACTAATTAATGTACTATAGTGTCACTCATCAGTAGCATGTATACATCACACAATACTTATCAGTATCCGCATATATAGATCACACAAGATACACCAAGGGGTCTATTTATAAATGTTTTTCCCACAAGATTCACCCAACTTCAATCTCTCAAATCTGAGAGAATGATGTCTTCAGAATATTCTTCAGACAGTAGGAAAGCATGCCCAAAGAACAAAGATGTAATATTGCAATTTACCAGTCTTTAGATGTGGATGCTGCATCTGTTTTCTTTTTTTTCAGCTTTTTTGCCTTTTATTTTCACAGAGTGATCCTGCCAGTAACACACTTCCTGTCCTAGGCAGAGAGTGCTCACTCACTGCACTATACCTATGTAGGAGCATTGTGGTCACCCTGAGCTCCTCACACCTGATCTGGATCCTTATAACAAAGAGGAAACATGTTCTCTAGTTTACATAGGTGACCTGGGAAGGGCTGAAAAAGCTCCTTGGTATTTCAGTGCAGCAACGGAACTTTGTTGTCAGGTCACTACGGGTGTTATGAGCTGCCTAGATTTATGTCAGGATATGGATATTTTATTGTGTTTATTCCAGCTGTATACTGAGCATGTGACCCCTACTACATCTGGGAAGCCTGCCGGCCATGGTTTGTCAAAAATACCATCCTCTATAAGACAGGTATTGTATCTTGCAACTTTACATTGTATGTGGGAGTGTCCATGTTATGGGCATAAAGGCCTTAGTCCTCCCTTTCCTCCACAATTATGAGCCAGTAGGGGGGCAAAATTCATCAGAAGGAAGGAACAAGTGGAGTGTGTTCACGGCTTGTTCAATAAAGCTTGAACTTATGTCTCTGGAATGCGTTGTGCAGCCT